TTGTATTTTGATTAATCCAAAAGAAATGTCCAAAAACATTATTGCAGAGTTCAGACCTTATTTCTTAAAAAAAAAATTAAACCCGAATGAAGTTGTAGTCAAAGAAAAAGTAACTACTACTATTTATAAACACAAAACTTTTGCGAATCCGTCATCGAAGATAACAATTAACAACTGGAACACGACAAGAAACTGAATAATTGAACAAACACGTTTTGTCAAAAGGGGGTTCGGAGAAAAAAAATTGAATCTGCAACATAAACAAATCAAGAGCTTTCAAAATCAAATCCAATAAAACGGGTTTTCGATACGCATTGAATATTTGTATCAAAGCCAATAACTGTTGAATACTTGCAGGGAAATTCACAGTCCGATGAGTACAAGCATACAGACGGAGCTTTGTCCCATGTCCATTGTTATATCTCACACATGAGTAGCCACATAACTCCCCATAGTCCACATAACAACCTGGGGAGAGGAGATTAAACTGCTTATGTGGTCATTTGTGATGAAATGTATACTTTCAATTTGTGTAATGTTTTGAATATTAATTTATGTGGAAGTAAGTTATCATCCTACTTTGGAATCTGAATGCTATTTCGACAAGTGTATCGTGTTCAATTCACTTGCTAAATATGTCCAATTCAAGACTAGGGGACTAAGGGACTGGGTAATGTGTATGCAACAGATTGCAAATATATTAATCATGTTGGTCGAAATAGTTTTAAGTGACAGGTAGATATAAAAATTTAAAACGAATACATGAAGTTGAGTTAAAAAATATTTAAGTTGTCTGCAGCCGGTTCAAAAGAATGATAAACTATAAGAGTATGTATCCATTGATACTTAAAGAGTAGGGTATGGGTGTGAATTCTAAAATTACTGTAAAAATTGTATTGTATATATTTTAACAAAAACATAACAAAAATACGTAAGCAAGCTGATTCAAATACTCGTATTCTTTGCGTACCATTTTCAAATTCATGCATTACATGCTAACAACCCCTTAATTCATAGCATATAATTATAAAACTTGATTGATAGTTGATGAATCGTTATCCAAACAAATCCCACTAGAGAATTAGCAAACTCAGCACAGATGGATGTTTTACAATGTAATTGAGCCATATTTTAAATCCCCCACTCTAATATTCAATGCAGTGGAACACTTTAGCTGTGGGATCAAGGGCGCCGTCAAGCCACGATTTACGCCAAACCCTTTGAACGCAAGATAGGCGTGAAGCTGGGATTTCCAATCAAACAAATGAACCTTTCCGATTAGGAAACGATAGGCAGTATCGTACAGCAACAATCAGTTAGCGAGGGCTATTGGCAAATTGGCTTTTACATTTTTCTCTCTGCCCAAACTTCTTTCTCTGGAGCGGTCGCGCATTTTCCCGATTGACGCGTAATCGGTTATGTTTTTATATTCTGATGTTCGTAATGATCGGCGAGTTGTGGTGGGGGGGCCGGCACTACTGTTTTTTTCACACCCTGTGCCAAAAATGCTACATTATTACGATGTTTACGTTTGGTTGACATTCTCAGTTGGCTAAACTGATATCGCTGTGTTTCTGGCAATGGATGATTCGATTACGATTACTAAAGTTGTTCAGAAGCATCTATGGTTTGTTTATGGTGTAGCTGAATGGCTGTAATTCATTATCAACCTTTTGAGCCCATGCGATTCGATCTATTTCACTTTGACTTCCTTTATTGCGTGAGTTTCTTAGAGAAATTCCATAATTTTCAAGGGCGATACAAATTTAGTAAAATGTCTAGAGAAGGCTAGTTGCTAATAAATTAGGCGTTGACAGTTATTTATTTGTTTGTATGTTACCGCACATTTTATGTATGTTATTGTTTACATTATTCTTGCAATAGTTGAACGTTTTAGTTATGTTGGTAATCATCACCTATACCCATCAGTTTAGCGGCCAAAATGAGTCAACGGCCTAATATTTAGCCGTATGGTTTTTGAATAAAGAAAGCATTTGCAAATTTTGAGCGAGTTTAAATAATTTGTAAGAGTGGCAACTTTTCTTTGCCAAAACTTGTGTACTTAAATTTCTTTACACAAGTAGGCCAAAAGATATTGACACTTCTACTACAAATAACGCGGTTTGCACATTGTCACATAAAAGTGTTAAAGTTGTTTTTGCCTTAGACACGAATACACGATGTTAACGTGTTATTAGCTAGTAGAACGTGATAGTAACAAGCAGTCAGCAACAGAACAGCAGTCACTGGTGTTGTGTCATGTTGTTATCAGTGATAAGAATGTTGCGCAGGTCAGTTAAAACTCGGCAACCTACGCCCATATGGTCCTACTGAGTGTTATCCGGTGTAACCTTAAAAAAAATGTGTACTAATGATAGTCTGATAAATTTACAGTTGAAGGAGGTCCAAGCCAAACTAACCTCAGTAAGCAGTGAGCATTCCACATAAGTGTGACGATCACTATTATAGTGCATTTGCTTGGACTAAGGAATATACAACAATATAACATTATATTTTTTTAAACAAAGAACAAAGGTAATTTTTGCAGCGATGTGATCAAAAAAGGTTAAATGAACAATCCGAGTCAGTATGAAGTATTAACCAGATGTAGCGACGAGAGAACCCCTACCATAAATGAGGACAGTAAAGTTAATTGTTTCGACTTCTAAGGGCCTTGTTACTGTTAGCCATAAACAATTACATTAATTGCTACATAAACGAGACTTGTCCAGCCGGCACCGCGGCCGTGTCTTTATGGTGGCTTGACTTTGGACAAGTTATTGTTTCAATTAAGTCCATCGTTTGTGCCGATTCTAACGATCGGGATAAGCCTAATTTGGAGTTTCGGATATTGAAAGGGGCGAGAAACGGTGTAGAAAGAATCAAATGTTTTAGTATCCCAGGTTGTAAAGTACTTTAAAGTTATAGGTACAAAGGGTGAGTAGGAGGGTATTCCGATATTTAAGTGGATTATCCCCTAAAGTAATCAGAAGAAGTTTTTATGACCCCTTTGGAATAAATTCACAAATCTCTTCCAATCAAAAAAGCGTATGGTTTGTTGTTCCTTACATTAAATACAATTTTGTTTGGTAATTATTACTCCCTAAAAACTATGTAAAAGTTACCATTCATGTATAATTTCTATAATAATTACATACGTAATTCATAAAATTAAAAACGTACGTACAAGAAAACATATGTGTGTACTTGCATATTAATCAGGAATTTTAAAAGCGTATTTTTGTCTGACAATAACTTTTTATCTAAATACAGGTTACATTTCTTAGCCGTAGGTAATATTCCATATCATTGGTTGTTAACACTCAAGATCTCTTGAAACCTAACTCTTCCAATAACCGGAGATTAATCAAATGATATGACTCTTATTATACAGTTGACTGTCTTGCCCGATATATAATTTAGACTTTGGATGGCGAAGTATAAATCTGGATAGTGTGTGATTATTAAAATTTGGTATGCAAGAAATGGTAGTTAAAAAGCCGTATCCGTCGGTAATTGGCCTAAATGTTTTTTTTCATCAAAGGCTCGTCCCTACTTAAACATGTGAATGGAATGCCCACTTGACGGTAATGTAACTACAACAAATGTTAGTATGAAAAGACTAGCTCGACGACTACACCATGAGTCTAAAAAGTCATCGCAACATTAGAATGTTACCAGCTGCGAGTGTATATACAAGTTATGGATAATAGGCTTGTTTACAGCTATTCTGGTGTTAGTGTTGTTTACCAAAGTTACGTCACCATATCCCGGGCGATCGGCCAACGGAAACTCAAGGTTGAGAAATAAAACATAAACAACACAAACGAATCATATCTTGATAGAATGACAACTCAGTTGCAAACGCGTTTGTGAAACCAGTTGCAGTGTGATCTTTGACCTTTACTATATACTTAACATTGCGTTTACCCGACGAAAAGAAGGAATTGCTGAAAACGTCGAGGTAAAAAATGTATGATAATTTTATTTAGGCCTACAGTAACAAATTTTACGGTCAATGAATGGGGTAGAAAAAGTGAAAAGGTTATATATTTATCTTCACTGCTAACTACAACAGCGAGGAGATATAGAATATGACAAGGAGAAATATGCTATTTTACTTTCTGTAAAATCTTTGGTTTCTCGACACACTTCACAAAGATTAAGTTTAGAGTCTACAAGTCTGTGATTAGACCCTAGTTACCATGGATGTGAAGCATGGACCTTGAATAAGGAAGACAGAGGTTACCTCCCGCTATCTCCGCGTCCCGCTATCTCCGTGTACCGCTATCTCCGAATTTCAGAGTGACCCCTATAATCCTCGGTTACTTCCTGCGTTAAGACTTTCCGTTCAAACCTAACCTAACATAACTTAACTTAACTTAACTTAACCTAACCTAACCTAACCTAACCTGACCTGACCTAACCTAACCTAACCCACGGGTTAAATTTTCATCAAATCTTCCATCCACGGGGCTTCGCAGCCGTGGATGCAATGACAGCTAACAACACAGTCAGTGACTGGATTATAAGGGTCACTCAAGAATTCGGAGATATCGGGACAGATTTGGGTTCGGAGATAGCGGAACGCGGAGATAGTGGGAGCACACGGACAGTGAAAGGTTAAGGATCTTTGAGAGAAGAATCTTGCGTCGCATTCCCGGGACCAAGGATCAGAAATAGTGTATGGAGAAGGACTGAGGAGGAAAAATGAAGATTGTTTTACGTGCATGCAAGGAGAAGACACAGTCGTCGGATTCATAAAAGCCGAAAGAATCAGATTGTTTAAACACTTAACGAGAATGCAGGAACACAGGGTGACGAAGAAGATTACAGAGTAGGCTAACCTCTGCTAACACATAAAAAATGGCAGGATAATGTAGAGGAACTTTGTAGGTTAGGAAGATTAACTGGAGAGAGGAAGTGGAAGACAGAGGTCGATGGAGTCTGGTTGTAGCATCGATTAATTAATTAGTAAGCAATTTCATTATATAACTTACCTTGATATGATAGGAGTTGAGCTTGTGGCGAGGCAGTGAGTTGAAGGAGCTGAAATCTTGGCGTCTGGAGAAAATACCGTTGCCGTTCATGGAACTTTGTCTGGAACAGAATAAAACAGAAAAGTTAAAAGTTGAAAAAAATTTCTGTTTAGGTCTGCCTAGGGAAATGTTCAGTAGATGATCACTTAAAGTAAATGTTCTCTAGCTGTATTTTCCCACTTCCTCTTTAGGTTTGACTGGAATAGAGCAAAGAGAGTTTCTCCCCTTGGGCTAAACCAAGACCAAATTTGCCGCACCACTTGACACTCCTACTCCTTTTGCAATAACTGTTGAGTCCGCTGCACTGAACTCAAACAAAACCCAATGAGGTACCCTTGCACATGCACATGCAAGCACTGAGCACATATTAATGGGGATCTTACAACGGATTTTCCTTGTTCTTATCAAAACCGGTGAGCTGGACATAATTAATTGGAACAGCATCATGAACATGAATCATGAAGTCCGTATCTAAAAGAAAAAAATAGTCAAATGTGTTTAATGTTAGAGAACCAATTTAAAACACGTAACAATATTGTAACTCGTATAGTTGAAATAAGTTATTAGAAATTAACTGAAAATCATAGACCGTATCATTTAACTTTTACATGCCAGTCAGTTGGCCTTCGGTAAAAGGACATCATATGAAGAAGAGTGTAAAAGAATGTAGTACAGTTCATATTGCTATTATATAACGAGCGTACTGACATAAAGGACTACACGGTGTGGCTTTTAGTCTAAGGAAAAACAAGTATCTTCTTTTGAAGATGCAACAATACTACATTATTATATTCCTTTGATGTAAATACAGAGAATCTATGTGAATATCGAGTTCGAGGAGTAATATTCAGTAATCCCTCACCATGCATTAACTTTGTATTTTACTAAACATTTGTTGAATTATTCGACCAAATGCAATATCGGCTGCTGAATTTCGTTCAACTACAGTCCAAGACATACAAGGAAATGTAGTGACAAAAAGTACAATTCACCCAAATATCTTCAACACATAAAGGCTCACAAAGAGACTATTTATTTGGCCAGAACCGTACAAGCGGCAATAAGGAAAACCATTCAAATATCAATACAATGCATAGCAGCGGTGTGTGTGTGTGGGCAGAGGGACGCGGGGCGACCAAAACCAAAACAAGTGAAGAAGTGTGTTGCTTGCCCAAGGCCCTGAGCTATCTGAGTCAAGGCTGCATGTACTACAGAACAAAGCCGGCCTCAAGGTCAGTACAGCGGGTAGTGGCTGCAGCAACACCGAAAATCTGGCGAACGTCTGGTGTGATGGTCATCCGCACCTATTCGCACCTTCGCACCGGCGAACCAGCGCACCGGCGAACCAGCGCACCGGCGAACCAGCGCACCGGCGCACCAGCGCACCGGCAAACCAGCGCCAACGGGTTTAGCAACGGCGCAATCGAGGGAAGTTGAAACATTTCGTAGAATAAAGTTAAGACGTTGAGATCGAAAATAAATAAATTAACTTCATACAAATCTGATAAAGGAACATGAAGTCCACATAAAATGTGAACAATGTAAAAGGGTAATACTTATGTCCAATCCGATTAAGCAACTACAAAATTGTTACGATAAACTACAATATTCAACGTTTCAGTTTGTATCTAATAGGTTTATCGACGAATATTACAACAGAAACGGTGAGGACCATAAACATAAATAAATTACGTCACTGGCCCGAAAGTAAACGCGTTTATTTTAAATAGCTAAATGGAACCATAGATAAAACCACGAACACTAGAAAACATACTCCCTTGGAACTGTCAAAAGCGTAAAAACCAGCTGTTACGACGACTAGTTTATTCGTTCAGGTCAGTGACGTCATTTGTTTATGTTTCTGATCCATACCGAACCGCTTCTGTTCTAATATCCGTGGGTTTATAAAAAAAGAATGGTTTGCGTGGTCAGAGTCAATCAAGTAAAGCTACGTTAAACATAATAACTTGGGTAAAACGTAGTTGAATAAGACAAATTTTCAATTAAAAAATTCTATTGCAGGTTAATTAAAATAAAAAACTTTATTTTGCAGCCCCATTATGTTCCACGACTGCAATATCAAACATCACATCTGGTATTGAAGCTGAGTAAACCAAAGCAGCGAGTGATGTCCACTGAGTAGCTCTCCGTCATGATTATCGCAGAGACTGTACTGGCTAATATGGGGATAGCCAATATGCTTGGACTGATTAGCCATCAAATAGCCACAAATCACATGTATAGGCGAGGCGTGCTAATGCTAACATCCTCTACATGCATGTGCATATACATGTCGTGGGGTGGGCCAGTCGTATCTATAGCCTGTAGCCTGGGGTGTCAGGTTATGTCTCTAGGGGACGATCCCTTCTGATCATGATCATCTGTCGGATCGCCGATATCTAGTAGGCTTATAACTAAGAAAATATGATTGGATAACTTGTAAATATAAAATTACTATGCAAGTCGATATCTCATTACCACCATTAATTAGGTGAAAACTACCGGTACAGTAATCATAGAAAATGATCAATATCTGCGATAAATCGCCGATGATTGACTTGTGTCTACAGTATAATATACTGACCATTATTATACATACGGTTCCAAGTCCAAACTTTTGATAATGTACTTATATTTTACCTAATTGAGTTGGCCTTTTCGAAATAGTGGGTAATACAACACCTAGTCTACTTTTATATTGAGCATAGTTTTTTCGTAAACGCTTTTAATTTAATTTTGTGTGGTTTGCATAAATAAAAAATATGTTTTGTAAAACTCAATGAGAAACTAATACAGTTAAGTGGATCATCGATAAGAAGACCCTCGATAACAAGTCACCTTTGGTAACAAGTGTCATTTTCATATCCCCTTTAATTTATTTTACCCTTAATCACATGTTATGCAAACCTCAATAAGGAGTCAACCTTGATAACAAGTCTTATTTAATGATCCCCACGAGAGTCTTCTTATCAAGGTACTGTATACCAATATCGGGCTACAATTGAATTTATTGGTGAATTTGCCTTACGTTCACTATTGAATCTGCTAGCCGGTAGACTATAGGGACTTATACATACCGACATAACTTATATGAATTCTGTGATGGTACAAAAATTCATGTAGCGAATCCGTCCTGGAACTTCATAATAAGAGTTTCTTTTGCCTACAAACGTGATATCCAGTCTTTATCGTAACATAACTCACATGAGAATTGCACTCTTGTTTTCATGCTACGCAGTTACTTATTCGCTCGATAGTCACGTGGGCAACTCTAGAACCATTATCAGACAAGAGAGTTGCATTCGCAGACACATAAAACCACTGAATGAAATGACGATATCACACGCGAGTTCTCATTAACCCGGCGGTGGTAAATAACGTTTATTGCTCACAATAAACACGACGACTTTCACTTGACCTTGGACGCGGTGCCGAGCGATCACGTGACTACACATCTGGCCTCTCATTGGTCCGCGGCCACCTGACCCATTGTTGGAGTGGAGCCATCCAATCCTAAACGCTCAAGAGTTGTAGGATGAAGCCTTCTCTTTTGCTGTGTTGTATTCCTTGGCAATCGAACAGTAAATTTTAGCCTTTTTCTTCCCATGATGTAGTAACACGACCGTAATCATTCCTTGGTAAATGTCGGTAAATTAGAATCCGCTGGCAATGGTAACAAAATACCCCCACCGCAGCAAACCTGCCGTCTAATCGAATTTCCATTTGCCTGAAATTATTTTCAATTAATCTATTTAAATTAGGTTTTACGAGTAGGCCTACCTAGGTTTGCTGCTACAATGAGACTTATAAAGTGTTGTTTTTTTTAGTAAAATAATTATAGCTCAGTATAAAATCAATAAATTTTCCTAGTTTGATAAAAATGTATCCAAGCAAACTAAAACATTTTACAATATTCTCCATAAGAATGCCATGGAAATTTCAAATTTACAAATTTTTTTGTTTTTTTTTTGGCAACCAAAAACAGTAGGCTACAAAAACACCTTGATGTACTGAATTACTGTATTTGTTTTTTTAAGCTCTTTAAGAAGGTTTAGAGAGAAATTGGGAAATTTATGTTTTGAGGGTCAAAAAGGAGAAACCCCAATTTTTACCCCATAAAATCCCCCATAAACCCACAAATGGTGTTTTTGGTCTCTGAGGTCATCAAAATTAAAAAGTAAATCGGTCCGGGGCCTAGGACATACAGGGCCACCTACGGTAATAGCTACTACAGCGTCACAAAATATAGAGACAGTACCGGCAAGGAGTAGAATCATAAACGAATTAAATTGTTAGTACAATATCATCATCACCTATTTGTACATCAATAATATAAACAATTACGTACCTATTGTGAATTATTCATCATAGGTTTAAATTCAGCTAACGTACAGTCCTACACCGGTTTAAAATGCCAGACGAGCTAGCAGGCCGCGATCTGAGTATCAACTATCAAGCAAGACCTTCTGTAGTTTGTTGCTAGCGTTAGCAGCTTTCATATTTTCATTTTGTAATGGAAAGTTAACTAAATTTAGTGTCCAATGTGTAAGTAACCAAACATAATAAAGAAAATTATTAACTGTGACGTTTACGCTAGTCAATGGGCATTTACAGGTAATTGGCATAATTTGAGCAATTGAAACTATATGTTGGGTCGCTATGGAAAAACTGTACACCATAAATTTATTTCCTGTTTGTAATTCATTGAAATACATCCAATACGATTGTTATAGCAATACACTTGTAATTACAATTCCAACGATATGTAACACTTGCAATTATTTTACTAACTACTGTACACCATCACAAATCTTACTTAACAATTTATATCCCAGAACCGACTAAAGTATTTTTTCTTCCGATGTAAAACTGCACCAGCAGTGTCACTAAACAAATAAATACAACATTTAAATGCAATTCTTATAGCAACACACTAAATCTTTTTAGAATAATAAAATGATTGGAACTGAAATAAAAACAAATTATTTAAAGTAAAACCTAAAAATTTAAGTTAAATTTAACAAATATGTAACAGCTACAAAGAGCTAAAAAGTTAGGTAG